GCGCAGCAATCCTAGCAATTTATCAGGGACGGCTCAAGAACTTCTGCTCTCTCTCAGAATCTGTTTCAGCTCTCTCTTTATGATGAGAATAGGTTTTGAGAACGTGTCTGATGAGAGCAGGGCCTTAAGCTTATATAGGGCTAGGTCAAGTCGTCTCTACTCATCACCGAGGGCCGACTTGACTAATCTTCCAAGCCCACTTAATCGGTTCACGCAAAAAGGAAACAAAAATAGGACTCCTTAATAGGCCCTAAAACCTTTCCTTATTTCACAAGGTTTTGGGCCTCAAGGTACGACTTAATTTAAACCCTTATCAAACCTGATGTGACTTAGTATCTAGTGCACCGATCTAATTAGGAAAACATAACAGCTTCTTCCAGGTATGTACCTTAATTTGTTTGTACATGCCTAGATTTATAGTAAGGTTTTGTTGTCAGATTTATGTTGTTAGACAAATACTTATGTCTACCTTATAATATCAACAAAGTATTTGGTACCAGAGAGCCTGATGAAATCAATGATTGACGCGTCTCATAGATTTTTTGATCTGCCGGAGGAGGAGAAGAAGGAGTTCCAAACAAGGAACCTGTTGGACCCAATCAAGTGCGGCACCAGCTTCAACGTCAACATTGAAAAAGTGTTGGAATCCCACATCGGTGGGGTGAAAGAAAACAAATGGGTTTAAATAGAATTACCACACTTTAACTAATATCGAGGCCTTTTGTGGTAAAACCCCACACCTGACGGATTGAGCAGGTGGTAAAGTGGGGACAGTATCGGTGTTGTTAGAGTGGGACCCAACGAGCAGATCCAAAACTTCAACATGGTATTAGAGCCAAGGCCCATACAAGCTAACGAAGCTTGTCACCAAGAAGGAGAAACAAGTCGGACTCTTAAAGGAAAAAAAAAAGAAAAAGAAGCCAACGAAGGTTGAAAAGAGCCGACCTCTGAGTTCCATTGAAAACAAGTGGGCCCAACGAGAGCCGACCTCTGAGTTCCATTGAAAACAAGTGGGCCCAACGAGAGCCGACCTCTGAGTTTCAATTGCCGATGTGTGGATCTTTACATGTGAACCACTAAAAAGGGGTTACATGTGAGGGGGAGTGTTGGAATCCCACATCGGTGGGGTAAAAGAAAACAAATGAGTTTAAATAGAATTATCACACTCTAATTAATATCGAGGCCTTTTGTGGTAAAACCCCACACCTGACTGATTAGGCAGGTGGTAAAATGGGGACAGTATCGGTGTTGTTAGAGTGGGACCCAACGGGCTGATCCAAAACTTCAACAATAAGTTCGTCTTTGGAGGGATTTCCTCAAGGTCATTGTCCACCCTCAGTTCAACTCACTCTACAAACCTGCTGGATACAGCGAGGTTTCACTAGAGTTCAGCAAAAGAACTCGAGAAGTAGCCACAGAAATGTTGAAAGGAATATCAGAGAGCTTAGGGTTGGAGGGTCACTACATAGTAAAGGCCATGAACTGGGACCGTGGCTTACAAATTCTGGCCGCAAATTACTACCCGGCTTGCCCACAGCCCGATAAAGCAATCGGTCTACCTCCTCATACCGATCATGGACTGGTGACCCTCCTCATTCAGAATGAGATGGGTGGCCTTGAAGTCAAGCACAAAGACCAATGGGTGTTGGTGAATGTTGCTCCGGGAGCTTTTGTTGTTACCATTGGTGACCAAATGCAGGTACCAAAATAACACCCAACTTTTTTTAATCCAAAACCCATCTTATCTAAGAATTACAATCTAATAATTCTCTACTTATTTTCATAAATTAATGGTACCCATTATTTATGTGTATGGTTAATTCTTTGTGGCAGATTTTGACAAAGGACAAGTACAAGAGCATATGGCATAGGGCTGTTGTGAACAACAAAGCTACAAGGATATCAATAGCTGTGCCCCGTGGACCCTCACTGGACACACCAGCTTTACCAATCCCAGAGTTGTTAGAGAGAGAAGGCCAAGCCCCAAAATACATTGGGATGACATACGAGAAATTCATAGCAAGCCCTGCTGCCCTCATAAAACCTTTCTTAGATCACCTGCGGGTCAAGCATAACTGAAGCTACAGCCTACACATAATCACTAGAGTCCTCTTATCTCCGTGACCGTGAATAAGAGCTTTGTTGCTCCTATACATTGTCTTGTTCCGATTCTGAATTCACAATCTTATATATATTTATAGCTCTAACTATGCCATTTAGTGTCCCGATTTTATTTATTTTCAATTATAAACCACAATCTCTGATATATGCAATTCAATGACCCTTATAAGAAAATTGACGGGGTACCGAAAGGATTACTTGAGAATGCGAGTACTGAAGAAACAATGGCGGAGCTAGAGCCTATATATTGAAGGGGCAGCAATAATTAACATTTTTTTTAAAAATAAATTGCACACAAATTGTCAAGTTTTATATAAAATGTAAAGGAGTTTTTGAAAATTGGGGGCTACAACCACTTCTAGCCTTGAAACAGGAAAAACACTATTTCGCTATATTCGGTCAATAACGCTTTGATAGTGTGACACGTGTGATAACACTTCCACGTGACATAGCATTATAGACCGGGAATAGCAAAACAGTGCTATCCAAGTTGTAACTAAGTTTTTCTTGAATTATGTGGCTCCGCCCCTATGAAAAGGCTTCTTGCTTGAGTTGTAATCTTAGAGTATCTCCAAGGGAAATGTCAAATATAAAGCATTAAATTGAAATTTGATGACTTACGTTGCAATTTGACATATATTGCACAATTTCATTCCACTCGATATGTCCTTTGTGTTCCGTAAAATAAGCAATCAATAAAGTAATGATAAATGAAGAAAGAAAAAGGCATAAAATAAAATAATGATAAATTGTAGAAGTGATGACTCCAATTTGTGATCCTCTAACAAATGTAATAATTTTAAATAAAAGCCAAGACGGTACAAAGCTCAAATTAATGATTTGTGGGCCATTTAGTTTAATAAGTTGCAAATTAAATACAAAGTAATTTAACAAATCCTAAAAAAGTTAATACGTACAGTCTGTACAGATCATATATTCCATTATGTTTGTTTTTTTTATAGGTTCAATCATGTTATTCTCATTGTGTACTTTGATGTTTTTAAAAGAAGAGAGAATTACTAAAATTAATAGAATTTTGTTGAAGATTATTTTTTGATAGTTTGTTGCCAATGATACAAGTTATGCTTAGAATACTTCTAAAGGAAATTAAAAAGAGCTTTAATTATTTTGAACAACTACAATGGAAAATATTTTATTGATCAAATTAATAAGAGATGCATGCTTATGTTAAAAGTGGAAGCCTTAGTGTTTTAATCAATTGAATTTTCTTTAAATCAAATCTTGTTCAATTCTACTTCTTTATCTCAATTGTTCTTTTTCAGCTCTATTATTTTCTTTACATCGCTCTCTGTGGATACGACACTCGGACTTCTCAGCTACACTACTGTACGACATCTCCTTAGGACTTATCAGGCTTTTTGTGTAGGTTGAACAAGTGGTCAGTTTGTTTCTTGGTCGTCCAGTAGGAAGTGTACTCCTTTGTGAAGACGAAAGCCAGCTCCTTGAAGTAGTTGATTGACTCGGACGACAGAGTATGGAACCAGTCTTGAGCTGTTCCTCACGAGGTCATCGCAAACACATTGCACATCAGCGCATCCTCGGATTTGTAAAGAATCATGACACTTTTGAAATGTTTCAAATGTCTTTCGGGATCGGAATCCCCTTTGAATGGAGTGAAAGACGGCGTTATGAATCGCATTGGTGAAAGGAGAGGATTTTACTTAGTCTACCTTCTTGCACAGGGTATTCTCTAAGTCTCCTCCAACTTTCAAGTCTCGAAGTCAGTCATTCACGAGCTTCTTGACGTCTTCTACTCGCAAGGCTTGTGGCACACTTTGGTGTCTCTCACGGTCGGGTGTCGCTAACTGACCTCCTCATTGACTCTCGGAGATGGATCTCCTTAGTTATCCTGCCTGAGTAGCGTATTGGTGGACTGAGTTTGCGAGGGATTTTGTGCTGCTTGTCGCCGTGTACTGGCTCTTCCAAAGCGGGTCGGTGAGCCCCTTTCTTTAAACATTTTTTGAGGTGGATCGTGAGGCTAATCTCCCTAGGGGCCTAGCCTCACGTGAATGCTTCTTTGCAGGCCCAACCTTTCTTGTACGTTGGTCCTTGGACCTAATCTTGCTCGGAGGCTCGATCTACTTTGGCTGGAGCCCACAGATGCTTGTGACATGCTTGCTTGCTGGTTCCTACTCGACTTGCTTGCGACCTCTCTCCTATCTTCACCATGGGATCCCAGGCCAAGGTTTTGGACCAAGTTGATCTGCCTGAGGAGCTGTCCAACCAAGTTGTTTTGGTCGTCCACTCTTTGAGCTAACTAGTCAACCCTAAGGTTGAGGTCTGCTTGACTAAAGGCATTCCCTACCTTCACCATCCAACAAGTTACCCGGACATAGAACACTTATGCAGATGCGCTGACAAGCCTAAGATCAGCGACTAGACACCCGGTTCCGACGCTCCATCCCCGTTGATCATCTTGACTAGCTAGACATTGTTGTGAAATTATTGCAAGCGCACAATTCGCACAAGTAATATAGTGATATGTGAAGTGTCGTTCTCACGAAGAGTGATTTAATTTACTAATTACTGATTGTGATTAACCCAATACTTTATTTGAACAATGGAATGATGAGATTCGATTGATAAATTAACTAAAACAATGAATAAAAGCAAGTGTAGAAAAATAAAGTAGTGAGATTCAAGTTATGAGAGCATTAGAGCTTCCGATTTCACCATAGCCAATTCCCTTAGCATGTTAATCTTTATTATTCTCCATGTTGACAGTCGATTTTTCCTACTTTATTTGATACTCCATCCCTGGTTATACCAAAAGTATTCTTATTGCCAACCCACTCTATCCCTAGTAATGGAATTAAGATAATAAGAGCCCATTAAATTCCTTGGAAAACCTCCAAAAGAACCACATAAGTCATGACAAACATCCCTGTCTAATCATGTAACCCATGGCATCTATTACAAGAAGCAACCCCAAATTGGATATCCCTATCGTCAATTTAGCATCAAAACAATTAAATGTTGGCCAAACATTCAAAGCATTAAGAATAGTAATAGATACTCAACATGGAAAAATACTTGGAATTAACATTGACTAAAGAAATTGAGTATTCATAGCTAGGCTACATCGTAGCCCTAGCAAAAAGGAATTAGTTCATGACAACTTTAATAAAAACCTTGATAAAGAGTGTCATAGAAAAGAAAAACCAGTTGAAGATTTCATCTCTGCACCACAACAACTCTAGGTTGTTGACTTCTTTTCACGAAAACTCTCTCTCCGCTTTATGCTTTGTGTCTCTCCGAAAAAGAAAATAATGAACCCCCAACCTTAGGTTAAGGCTTAGTATTTATAAGTCAAAGGGAATTGTCCAAAAATAAAGAAAATAATAATTATTTAGGAAGTAGATGAATAATAGGAAGGCCAAAAAGAAAAACCCAAACTGAGGAGGATAGTAAAAATAGGGTGCGGCAGAGAGAGAAAAAGGAGTATTTGGCTTTTGGAAAGAATAAACCCATTTAGAAAAGGAGAAAAGAAACTGAGACTTGTGGAGGTAATCTTTTCCAACTCAAAGGAGAAAACATGACTGGAGAAAAAATGGTCACACCATCTTGCATTTTATTTTGACTTTGTTGTCCAATCAGGAAATCCCCTTTCATCGTCCCAAAGGCTCCAAGTCATTTATAAAAATCTTGCTCAGGAAAAGCTAATGGAAGATGAACTTGCTGATGGGTCCCCCACTGTGGTGCCAATGCAACGAATCCTTAACCTAAGGGTTATCAAGAGAGCTTATCTTGACTTTGTTGCCCATGTACTCTCTATTTAGTCACTTCAACCTTGCTCTTCTCTTTTACATTATATTGCTTTTCAACAATCACTACAACTCCAATTTGCATATTAGAACTGGATCTTGATTCCAATTACAAAGGTGAGTTATTAATGAATTTCTTCAACTGGGCTTTCAATTGGTTCTCTTTGTGTTACACCGACTGAATTTTTCTTTTCCAACTCATATAGATAGCCAAATAGAAGAATATTTGCTTCAACTCTCAGCCAATCCAATGCAGCCCACTACTCAACCAAAATTACCAGCTACAAATGACTTTAGTTTCCAAAATTGATGGTAAACCTCTCTAACTCTATCTTTCTGGTGCTGGTCACTGAGATTAGTTGTGGTTATAATTTGACACTTGCACAGATGCACTCAAGGTGTTTGATAAAATGACAGAGTGAGTTCCTGAGATTTTGTTGAGTTGATAAATCTACCCCTTTCTGTCCCTTAAGCTTCCAAAATCATAGTTTTAGCTCCAAACCCTTGCTAGGAACGAATGCCTGCAAAATCTTCACTGAACACATTAAACTAACCAATTTCATACAAAAAACAAAGCAAATATAGATAGATTATATATGCAAGATATTAATCTATCAGGCATCGATGAGGGAAATCAGACAGACTCAATGCAGATCGATGAGGACCCAACGTGGCAAGACCCCATCATCGACTATTTGGTGAATGAAAGTTTGCCAAAGGACAAGTCCGAAGTCAGAAAGGTCCAGCAGTTATCAAAGAGATATTACATGCATGGAGCAAGCTCATTCGCAAATTATACTCCGGTCCTCATCTCACCTATATAAAGTACCCTCATACCTTTGAGGTGCTCAACAAGATCCATGATGGCGAGTGCGGCAACCACTCCGGGGGTAGGTCACTCACCCCGAAAGGTCTAAGTATAGGCTACTTATGGCCTACCATACGCCATGATTCTATGGAGTATGTTAAAAGATGTAATCGATGCCAACGGTACAAGCCGGTTCCTAGCCTACTTACTAAAGTGTATCATCCGCAGAACATCCCATGACCATTCATGTATCAGAAAGGTCTAGCAGTTATCAACGAGATATTACATGCATGGAGCAAACTCATTCACAAATCATACTCCAGTCCTCATCTCACCTATATAAAGTACCCCCATACCTTTGAGGTGCTCAGCAAGATCCATGATGGTGAGTGCGGCAACCACTCCGGGGGTAGGTCACTCGCCCCGAAAGGTCTAAGTATAGGCTACTTATGGCCTACCATACGCCATGATTCTATAGAGTATGTTAAAAGATGTGATCGA